ATTTTTCAAATAAACACATATACAATGGTAAATCAATCAATAAAGCAATTAAAATAAATAAAATACTCTGAGATAACTGAAAATTCTGTTTTAAAACATTTTATGTATATTCCAGGCCAACTAGCACTTAAATACCTTACGGGTGCGCTCACTTTGCAGTTATAAACTCCCATTTGTTTTGTGTGACGCTTATTTACCCTAAAGTTTTTTAAAATTATCACATCAGTATTCTCTAATCACAAACATAAAAATGTGACGTAAATGTTATATTATGGCACGTTAGTACCCTCTCATATATTTGCCGATATTAAGTGGTATTTGGCCTATATTTCACCATGGCCAACGTATATTAAATGTTTTTTTTTTCTAATCCTAGGGTCTTTAAAATCAATTCACTTTCGACCTGAGGGCCCAAACAGAATTTTCCCCGAACGAATAACCCCTCAAACCCACCTCTCACTCAGAATTTCATTTCAGCCCCTCTCCCGAGCCTCACCAGCCTCCCGTCAGCCATCGGAACCGGACTCCACTGAGCATGGAGTCCGGTCCATGATCCCGCAGTCAGCCGTCATCCCCGTCGAAGCGGCCACGATCCCGCCCCCCTCCCTCCGAACCTACCCTCCTCGTAATGCATCACCAGCTACCTGCCGCGTCGACCTCTCCGCCCATAGGCCCCTTACTTCCACTCCGAGCTCTCAGAAGCAAGCCCCCCTTCGGCCCACACAGGCCCTGGGACAACCGGAGCCCTAACGTTCAACGCGTCTCGCCGGAGGCTTCCGGCTAGCCCCTGGAGGACATTACCAGATCCACACGCCAAGATCCCTGGCGGATTCGTTCGGATCTGACCACTGCCCCTCCTTCGCGCCGACCTACGATGCGGATCGCGGCGAGTTCGTTTGGGCGCTTGCAGGAGGCTACCGGCGCCGGGCCGCTTGCCCGCAGGTGCTTTGGGTTTTTGCCCTGCCGACGCTCAGGTGGAATATTTGGTTCTCGAATTGCCGTTGTTGTGTTGTGATTGTAGGCAGTTGGCTTTTAGATCTTGATTTGATTGCTAGCTCAACTCTAAACCAACGCCTAAATCTAGCCATAACCCCAGCACTTAGGGCGAATCGTGATTCCTAGGTTGTGGTATTTAGGCATCAGGTAGTTGAGATCTTGATTGGATTACTTTAAAGGTGCTTGAAACTGTGAACTTTTGGATGTGTTTACGATGAAACTAGAGATTTTTGATTCTGAATTGTTATGTGATACCAGGCGTTAGTTGAGATCTCGATGGTTTGGTTGATGATCTGATGTTGCATAATGTTATGTGGAAACCGTATGAACTTCAAAGTTGTTGCTTGTGCTTGAAATTGGTAACTAGGCGAAGCTGCTGTTATGCCCTTAAAATTAGGAACTAGCTAGCCTAGCTCTGGCCCACATTGATCGTTGAGGCTCTGGAACCTGGCGATGCTCAGGTGTGAATCTTTGATTCCTAGTCCCTAGATTGTAGCATTAGGCATTAGTTGAGATCTTTATCTGCTTACTCTGAAGTGCTTGAAATTGAGAACTAGCTGCAGCTGCTGTTTTCAGTAAAGTTTTTGGAAATGTATTAGGGTATTAGTATGAAATTCAAGATTTTTTCTGTAACGTAGTGAGTGGTCACTGTTAGTAATCTTAGGTTCTAGTTGTGATCTTGATTCCATTAGTTGATTCTTTAAGTGCTTGAAATTGGGAACTAGCTGAAACTCTCTTTAAGTACTTGAAATTGGGAACTAGCTAACCCTAACCCTTACCCGCCTACCAACGCTCACCCTAGCTCTCACCCTTATCTAGTGATGCTCAGGTGAATCTTGATTTGGATTTGCTATGTCCGGCAGTAGTTGCGATGTTGATTTGATTGTTTGGTTGATGATTTGGTGTTGCATAATGCTATGTGGTATCTGTCTAAACTTTGAAGTTGTTTGAGTTTGGGAGCTAGCTGAAACTGCATTTAAGCCTTTGAAATTGTTTAGTATGATTCTTGAGATCTTGTGAGAATTATAGCGAGTGCTGATTTTTTTAGGATAGTTTTGCAGCTTTTGCCAAAATGTCTTAGTTTTTTTGTGAATTTTAGTAAGTGACCTTGGCAGTTGGCACCAGAGGTTTGCCTTCTTGCCTAGAGACTAGCAAGTGAATCTTTACTC